CGACAGCCAGCACGCGGACTGCGCCACCACGGTTGACTTCGGAGACCCAGGAGTGGTTGGGAGACGTGAGAAGGTCAGATGTGCTGAGCCCCTGCCGGAATCCGTACTGGTGGATGGACAGAGCCTTTTCATGCTCAAGATGATTGATTATGGCAGTGTTGACAATCTTTTCCATGACTTTGGAGACAACAGATAACAAGGACACAGGTCGGTAGTTCTTAACAGCAGAATGAGATTGCTTCTTGTGTATCGGGACCATACGGGCTACTTTCCAGAAAGAGGGCTGGACATGACACCAAAAACAGAGTGAGAACAGCTTGGCAAGTGGTGCAGCCAAAACTTTTGAGCACTGCTTCAGAACTCTGGCAGGGATGCCATCGGGTCCGGTAGCCTTGGTTGGATCCAGCTGGCGGAGCTGGCGCTGGACTGTCGCTTCCCGAAATCAGACAGTTGTCAGGGCAGATGTACACCTAGGAGGAAGGTCAGGAAGGTCGGAGTGCTGTAGATCTTGATCACCTAGACTGCATTTGCTCGCAAAGAATTCTCCAAAGCAAGTAGCCTTTTCCTGGTTGGTGACATATTCTCTGCCCTGGGCATTGCGTAGGACAGGGATAGACGAGCTGCGGCCAGAGCCTGCAGCTTGCTTCAGGAGTGACCACCATTGCTTGTTTCGCAGTGATCCATGTTTGAGCCGATCTCGGATGCGGGCAGATTCTGCCTGCTTTGCGAGACGAAGGCAATTGGCAGAGGCTCGGACTTTGGCATTGTAGTCAATGAGTTGCTGGTAGCAGGTGGGGTGTCTCCTGAGACGGTTCCATGCATTCTTCTTTGCCTGGGTAGCGGCTGAGCATTCCGGCGTCCACCAGGATGGATCTGTTGGTTTCGTCGAAAGTTCTTTGTGTGGAATGAAGCGATTCATGCCTTCCATGACAACAGCGGTTACTACGGTACGCCAACATCTGCGAACCAACGGCGGAAGTGACAAATGATGTCATGGGAGGTAGCGGTACGGCCAATTCGAGCTACACACGGCCAGCCGGACAGACGGTCAGAATATACCAGGAACTGCCAGCCTTGACAGGAGAAGAGATCTGCGCTGGCATACTCGAATGGAAATGTCGGCTGTGGCTCGCGCATCAATGGCTCCTTCTGCTGCGAACGTTGGAGCTCACGACAGACAGGGCAGGCACAGATCAGGGCTGTGATGTCATCACTCATCCTCGGCCAGTAAACCACTTGACGCGCACGACGCTTGGTACGTTCCAGGCCCTGGTGAGACGAATGCAGGTCAGTCAGTACACGGCGTTGTAGAGACTTGGGCACAACAAGACGAGAGCCACGGAGGACGGTGCCGTTATCCAGGGTGAGGTGCTCACGGCCATTCCAATACGGAGCGAGAGCAGGTGGCATGTGACGTCTGGCAGAAGGGAAGCCGTCACAAATATAGGAGACTAACTGCACGTAATCAACGTCAGACTGAGCGGCATCGCGGAGCTCGTGGAACGGGAGACCAAATAGCGCTGATCCGGAGTCATCCTGCTGAAGGCATGCACGGATGGCTTGTCCAGATAGCGAGTCAGCTTCTCCCAGGAGATCATCGGCAACCGGGTTCTGCACTGGAGCACGCGACAAGGCGTCAGCAAAGGCATGCTCAGAGCCCTTGCGCCACGAGACGTCGAATTGATAGAGTTGTACCTTGGTCATCAGACGTTGGAGCCGAGGATTCTCAACCTGGTCCAGTGTGTAGGTGTTCAATATTGGAACAAGGGACTGATGGTCAACATCTACATGAAACGACATGCCAGCAAGATAGGTGTGGCATTTTCGGATGGCCCAGGTGACACCCAACATCTCCAGTTTGATCATTGCGTACCGGGATTCGGTGTCGGTGATGAATCTGCTGCCGCACTGAATGAGGCGCCACGAATTATTCTGGTACTGCCAGAGGCCAAATCCAAGACCCTTGGTCCTAGCGGCGTCACACTCGAGATGTGTCTGTGCTGACGGGTCGAAGAAGGCCAATAACGGTGGGTCAACAAGTGCTTGCTTCACAGCGTCCATAGCGACTGTGTGCTTGGGTAGCCAGAGAAACTCATTCTTGGCTTTCAGCAGACCGCGGGGAGGCGCTGCGTGTTCGGCGATGGTTGAATTGAAATCCCTGCACTGGTTGACGAGACCCATGAATGATCGCAAGTCAGTGCAATTGGCAGGGATCTCAAAGTCGGTGATAGCGCGGGTCTTTTCCTGGTCTGTCTTCCAGCCGGACTTGTTTATCACGTAGCCGCAGAAATTGATCTCGGCCTCGGCGAAAGCAAACTTCTTGGCTGACAGGGTGATACCATACCGACGAGCGCATTGAAGAACTTCACGAGTTCGTTCCAGGTGCTGCTCAAAGGAATCAGTGAAGACCAGGCAGTCATCCACAACCTTGGAGAATTGCTCAATACCAGCGAATGCTGCATCGGTCCGCTGATTGAATTCGTCGCCAGCAGAAATCAGACCTTGTGGGTTCCGCAGGTACTGATATCTGCCCCACTGTGTGATGAATGTGGTCAAGCTTCTGGACTCCTCGTCCAAGGGGACCTGCCAGTAGCCGTGGCGAGCATCCAGCTTGGTAAAATACTGGGCGTTACCAAGGTAAGAAACGACATCGCGAGGTGCACGCATGGGATGCGCGGGCCGGGCGACTGGCTTGTTAAGGTTAGTGAAATCCACCGTCATCCGGACTTCTGCAGTGCCTTTCTTTTTGGCTATGACGATGGGGTGACACCACTCCGTTGGCTCTGAGACCGGTGCGATGATGCCATCTGCGACCATCTTGTCCAGCTGGAGTTTCACCTGGTCACCATAGGCGTAAGGTAACCAACGGGCATTGTTCAACTTGAACGGCTGGGTGTCAGGCGCGAGTTGGATGTGCATCGGCTGACCGTCCATGGGTCGGAGCGTGTCCTCTGCAAATACGTCAGCGAACTCGTCGCTGGCGGATACGTACATGCTGGTCTGGTGTAGGGTTGCTGTGCTCTGCAGAACGGGATGTCCGATGTGTCACTGAAGCGATCTGTGGCCAGTTAGGCGGCAAGAAACCTAACGCCTTGAGCGATGAGCGCGACAGCAATGCGCTACTGAGTTCGTCATACACATGTAGACGAGTGGTGTGCGTGACATCACGAGCGACAACCCTGGCGGGAACAGTTCCCAAGCTGGTCAATGGCTGACCGTTCACGGCGACAACATGGTCGGGGTCAGGTTCCAGATCAGCTACACTGCCACTAAGTCTGCGGAGATGACTAGCACCAATAGCATCAACATCCGAGCCAGTATCTGGCAACCACTCTAACGTGCACGACCGGTCGTTGTCGTCAAGACGTGTTGACAGCATCACTTTGTCACCAGCCTGCACTGCGTGAATGGTGAGGCATGCGATGGTCTTGCGGCACATTGCCGCGAAGTGGTCCCTGCCCTTGCACTTACGGCACTCTTTGCCCTTGGCAGGACACATTGACTTCGTGTGCTGGGATCGTCCGCACTGCGAGCACTTCGCCGGCTTGTCAGCTGCAGCAGATTTCGGCTTACTAACCAAAGCGGATTTGCTGCGTTGATACGATGACCTTGTTGCGGCATTCACGGATGCCGGTACCATGCCGTCACCGGTCTGCTGTGCGGCTTCTTCAGCCCTGCAGATCTTGGCCGCGGTTTCCAGGGTGAGGGACAGAGCTGCCAGGAGCTTATGGCGGTTGTCGTCGTGGGCTATGCCAACTACGATGCGGTCTCGCATCATGTCGTCCGTCACCTTGCGGAGGCTCTGGGGACAAGTACTGCATAGCTGAGGTGTACATGGTCTGCACAGCTCCATATCAGGGAAATCGCACTGTGCAAACAGCTCACGTCAGGCGAAATTACTGGTCAGTCGGCGACACGCATTTTTCACAAAAATTTGCGTTTCACCTGCTGGGATCCCGGGAGAGTATGCGTGTACTCGAGTCTCATCCTGAGCACGTTTTTTTCTTCTTTTTTTCAGCTCCAGTATAGCTGTATTTTTCATTGCAAAGCCGCCCTCGATTGTTGTGTTCGTTGTTCAAACGAAGTGGACATTCAATCATGAAGGCAGAGGACATAGGAGCCTGATTGGAGTTTCTCGTGGCATAGGCCGGCCACACAGAGACACTTTGGGATTTTCTGAATATAAAATACCGTACGCACGATGCTGAGATCAATTTGTGCGATATCAAATTGTTTGTGATCTACCACATCGAGCAGAACAGGATCCAAACACAAGCTTACCGACGGTTAGGCTACCGACCTGACTGGACAAATGATCCCTGGCTTCACCAGACGCCAGAAGTCGGACACCATGTCCTTTGCCGCGACGTCCATCTCCAAAAAGAACTCCATCTTCGTCGTGAAAAGGCTTGAAATACTCCATATTCAACCGAGATTCGCGGACTCGCGCTTTCTCGGATCGATTAATTTCCTATTGGAAAAGTTGCAGGGCAGCTTCCCGCCGCGCCACTGTTTCAACCAGGCGATGGATCCAAAGCATGCCTGGAACAAGCCATATCGAGGTTGCAAGCCACCCCTCTCAGCAAAAAATTCGAACTCGGAAATTTGAAATTTCAATGGTGGAAGATATACTATGAAGAGAATTTCAAAAAGTATGTTTCGCGGAGCGATCGCTCAACCAGTTACCTACGTCATTCAAACTTTGCAGGATGGTTCAGACGTACATGCTAGGCATCATGGGCATGGAAAAAATTAGTTAGTTGATGGAACCACAGGCGATGATGCCATACTAGCTGACACACAGAGTAACACACACAGCAGATTCGTGTGCACAGATACTAAATTAGTGGACGTCGTCATCTTCTTCCCGCTGATCTCGAATGTACTATGACGTGCTATTTCGCCTGAATGAGGGGCGCGCGCCCGGGCCCTCAGGCTCATCTCATTGCAGCAAAGAAGGAGTCAAATGACTCATTGCGCTGCTGCTTTCAAAACGCAATAGTCCTTTTGCGCATTACGTCATTGGGCACGCGTAACGGAAAAATTTGAACCTAATGGGTGTCGAGGAATCTTGGCCATTAGGCGATTGTATTACTTTAGATGGTTTTGCAGAATATTTTATGGCTATTTGGTTCTTTGGCTCTTGGCGAAGCCTTGTTTTGTAGATTTCGACACCTCTGTTGTCCTTTATTAGTGGCGAAGCTGTGTAGGCTATGAGCTGGAGCCGTGGAAGTCGCGATTTTTGACTGATTTGGAGCACCGATGGCTGTCCAAAGACACAATTGTACTTCTTGAACCAGTCGAGTGTCGTCGGTGGAAGAATGGAGGACCTGTACTCTTTAGTCGAAGCAGACGTTCCCGGTGCTTCTCTGAGTGGTCGTAAGCCAAGGGATCTGCACGTACCAGAGTTGAAAAGGTGGCTGGCGTGCCGTGGTGCGTCTCGTCGTGGAAAGCATGCGGAGCTTGTGAAAAGGCGAGTTTCTGATACATGTGCTGACATTTCGTGAGATTTATTTCGAAATACATATCGTAGCCCTTCGATCCATGGATATTCCTTGTGAATATTGATTATTATTGGCTGTTCGTAATACAAAATTTGAGAAAGCCATCGACGATGTTCGACTCTGGTGCTCTGCAGGGTACAGCAGTTATTTATTTTACTTGTCACTGTGGAGAACTGTGGAGAAGCTTTGTCATATTTCGTACTAAGGCAGTTTTATTGGACGGTATGAGATGATTATGAAGCAACTTGTCAGAGAAATTGAGCATTAGTATAATAATCAGGATAATAATTTTGTTTCCCGGCGACCTTTCGTTTGCTGTTATTAATCGAGCAACTCAGCCCTAAGACTTACTACGAATTGCATTTCTCTTTTCTTCATGTCTCTCTTGGTGTAACAGGGTTGAAGACTATGTCAAGGAAGGATTGGACAAGAAAATTATCGATCCAGACAATGGTTCCAATATGGAGCGCAAGCGGCGCCGACTTGAGCAGGATGGAGACTCAGGCAAGATACCAGCCGTAAATCTTGATAGTTCTGTTACCTTTCCAGAGTCGGGTTGGCAGTGCAGCTTGAAACAGCTCCCAACAGTCAGCTTTGCCTCGTTGTACAACCACTTTATCGAGAAGTCTGTACTGGTAGCAGCCAGGCAGTCCATGGACGTTGCTGTATCAACGTCTCCAGTTGATGCCGAGTCATCGTCTCGCGGAAGCGGCAGTCACAGTGACGTGTTCTCATCGTTCAAAGGTGTAGATAAGGGCTACAAGTTCTTCAAGGATGGCCATGTTCAGAAGATTGAACTTGTGACTCAAGAGAATTTTTCATTTGTTCGATGTAACGTGCTGCCATCTATGAGAAAAGATGCGATTTACAAGTGTAAGCTGTGCCTGCGTCCAGATGGCATGGTGAACCTTGCACTATGCACATGTACTGCTGGCTTGGGTGGTGTGTGCAACCATAACTTATTGCAGCCTTGCTCTATGCACTTGAGGAGTATGTGCGCATTGGGCTACGTGAGGAAGTTGACGATTCCCCAACGTCCCGGCTTTGCAGGTGGAACTGACCCAGGCCTAGGAACGTTGTTGCTCAGCCAATTGTCAACGTCAGGCTGACAAAGGCTGCATTTGGCTCCCAGCGTCAGTCTGAAAAGCGTTAACCCGTGTATAACCCCATCTCACCGAACAAGCGTCTCGTCAAGCCTTCAGAGTTGGCAAAGTTTCGTGATGACCTGGTTGCAGCCCACGATGATGCCATATATCCGGACAAACAATGGCCATGCTGCTGTGTCTGCGCTGTTCATATACTGTATATCATAATAATACATCACTCCGTATCTGTCTTTTCATGAAATGTTATCACGATAGTGTGACTCCACCGAATTATCTGCATGTATTTTTTTAGTACTAGTAAATGCTTGGCTAAAATTCCCAAGCTCAGCTGCAGCTGTGTATAGTAATACAACTGTCTGATGAGTGTTATTTTCAATCACGAAGTTCTGAGTATCGAAAAAGAAAGACTTGCTTGTGTCATTGCCTTGTGAGAATTGTATTTTTAGTACATATATACAGAAGTACCCATCGTAGCAAGTACCGGCACGACAGAGTAAACGTTCGTCAATAAGTTCAAATGTATATACATGTATCAGCCATAAGCTGTACTATTATGCAAACAAGTTGTGATAATAGTGTCCGGATGAAGTTTTTATGCCACCAACGAGCCCTGGAAATTAGTCAACATTGCGCACACGTAAATAAGCTGGTCTAGAATGTCAAACATAGTATTATCAACTTCCTTGCCAACGATCTCAAAGCACTTGATCCTCTGCATTTTCCTTTCTACATGAATCCGTACAGCAGCAATTTTCTTTGTACTTGCAAGATCTTGAGGGGTCATTTGGCGTCCTCCTTGGCGAAATGGGGGGATGTTCAGGCGGACCCCATGGCTAACAAGAAGATCTTGTATGTCAAAACCTTTGTCTGCCATAATGGAATCGCCATGCTCTAATAAACTGATTAGGCCGCTCTGTTCTGTGATGGCACGATCCGACACAGATCCTTCGAATACTTTCGAAACAAATGTCACATGGCCATGCGGTGCAATGCCGATAAGGCATTTTACCGTGTTGTGGTTCTTGTACGCCGACCACGTAGCACTCTGCCGCGCCAGCGATGATGGGATGTTAATGAAAAACTCTGTGCAGTCAATCACAACGCAAGTTGTTGCATACCACTGCTTGAATGCAGGTGGCATCAATTTGTCTATTCTTCTCCTTGAAAGACAAGATGGAAGTTGACGAAACTTATGGTACATTAAATTTACCCAGGTTGTGACAGTGCGCGAGACAGTGGATGGGTGGACTTTAAACCTGTCGGCAAGGTCAACTTCTTTCAGTCCAAGACGAAGACGGACGAGGACGAGAAAGAACTGCTCCATCAGCTCTAGCTTCGGTTTACTGCCTGGTTTGCTGCCGTGTTGCATCGCGTCATCAGGTGCCGTCCGTGAACCCATCCACGTCCGCACCACCTTGGCGGAATCGTGCAGAAAGTTGAAGCACGCCATGAACATAAGGAACGATGAAAATCCAGTGTAGAAAGACAATAATTTCTGGTTATTTTTTACTCTGTGGATAGAGAACACATGTCTCTCTGCATCATTTAACTTGGCTTCCATGTCCTCTGTGGCCAAGCAACGACTTTTGAGGACCTCGTTCTCACTCTTGAGCAAATCCACTTCTGCTCTCAGCATTTCAACACATTCACAGTGCTGGTGTTCAACTGGTACTACATATACGTCTGGGGAGTCATCTGAAGAAGGGACAACATCAGTGGCAGTTGCAAACTGGGTGATGACACTGGAGGCGCCTTGAGCTGATGGCTTTGCCTTCTTTGCCGAGGGCAGCGCGTGTCTTTCTGCTGGTGGCTTGCGCTTAGTCACTTCAGCCAAGTTCAGGGCGAAAATGGAAAATCGTAGGTACGGCAGTTGGCAGAAGCCTTCGGCGAGTCTGTTGTGACTTCTTCTGCTCGGACGGTCGCTTGTGTGCTCCTGCGTGATATACCTCATCCGCGAAGTGCCGAGAACACACTTTCGTGTGCTTCGTGATGGTGAAAGCGGCTCCTACATCCCTATGAATGTTGGCGATCCAACGCTTTCTCAGGTCTTTGTCTTCAGGAAAACTGTGGAATGCGACTGCGTCGTCTCCAGGTTTTCCGCTGTTGGAAACACACTGCGGGACACAGCAGTGATGAGGCATACTGTCGACAGGCTTGTACAGGATACAGATCCACGCAGAACTACAGCAAGCCGTCAAAATACGACCAACCTATCAAACAAAATCAAACCACTTCAGCTTCTTCTCCAACTCGAGTCATGTCAAGGACACCCATTAGGTTTGAAAATGACCGTTACGCGATGATGTCATCGTCTAACGCGCAAAAGGACTATTCGATCTACATTGTACAAAAGTTTTGTTTGTAGGAGGGGGTTCCGTTGGCGTCGGATGTACGCTTTTACTGCTATGATGATCTCCGGAGCATCGGCACTGCGGGAGATGACAATCACATCTTCGCGCATGAAACGACGAATGTCGGCATCGAACGCCTGGCGAAAGCGGACACCCGAGTCTTACGACTTTGGCTGGCGAGGTGCTGGCACACAGCATAATCTCTCCAAGCCTCCTCCCATGCCGTGAAATCGGCCATGGTTGCAGTGCTGAGCAACACCGGTCGCTCGACAGAAATCGGCTTCTGACTGTAGGATGTCGAAGTGCTGGGTGGTGCCTGGTTGTCGCGCGTTGCGTTTTCGACCAGTGTGGTGAGGCGAGTCTCGCGTGCCTCAGCCGCTTTCATCTGCTGCTGCATCAAGGCGAGCAGGGATACAATTTCAGCACTGATTGGGGAAATTCCAGGTTCCGCCATCACGACAATTCTACAAATTCTACAACTACAAGACACTTATGCTCCACGATCGATCGTTTGAAAATAAAAGGCTACAGAATTCACGGACAACTACAGGCTGTCAAATATTCCGTACTCAGGTTACTAGTAGTTCACTGCGCCATGTTAGGTTCGGTAGACAAGAGACAAGTAGTTTATTGGTTAGAATACCGGTATACGAAGTAGAAAAACTGACAAGATTCAATCTGTATTAAAAAAACGACAGAGAAGACCTTCAAAGATATGCGTGCATGCATACACAGTAGAGCTAAAGTTGTACGGCATTACGTCATAACATAACAATAACTATGCAGGGTATAAAATATATAGTAAGAAAATGAGGATGAGCATAAGGATTATAACCGGCGCTGAGTGTGAAAGGAACAAGGCAACAAAAGATGAATTTTTGGTCGCTATACATGGATGTCATGACCTCATGCCTGCAAAGATACAATTGCACAATCTGCAGGGAGTTACATATTACAGACAGAGGATAACAGCTACACCAGAGCGGGTGCACGGTTGTGTGGTAATGTGTGCGCTGCTATATGTTGTGCATGTGTGTCTGTGTCCGTGGACCTGCTTGCTAGTGCAGAGAGGGGGGGGGGGGGAGAGATGGGATATATATTAGTAGTTGGTCAAAAGGAGGTGAAATGCCCGTATAATAAAATACCAAACACCAGCTGTTGAAATTGATGCTTGGCAAAACATGAAACTACATGAGAGTCATAATAATGGTTAAAGAGATCTTGGGATATCAAAGGCTTACGCGATGTGAGAAGGCCAAGATGTGGAGTGTTATTTGAAGATGGAGGGATTACTACAAAAATTCCGACCATCCTGGACTTCCTGGTTGACCGCATCTACTATGAAGGCAAACGAGGTGAAGTCGCTCACCAGCATAAGAGGTATAAGGCGCGTGTTGTAGTCACCTATTGTGGTTCTGACGCTGTGTAGCTCCTGCAAGTTGACGTTGTTGCCGACTCCGACGGGAAACACCTCCACTCTCTTGTCGAACTTGAGGTCCTGGGCAACCTGTCGGGGCGGCTCACCTCTGTTACTTCTACCGTCCGTGATCAACAAGACTCTCCTCATCGTATTGTTGGACGCCGTCATGCCGGCTGATTCGGTGAAGATATTGTTGTAGCAGTACCGAAGGGCAGGACCAGTTGCAGTGAGGCCTCCAGTGTAGAACTGTTCCGCTGCTAAGACGGAGGCTTTAATGGCCTCCTTGTTAAGATGTCCCAGGCTTGAATGGTGGAAGTTGAAAACCTCATGCACTGCAGAGCCATACACGACCAATGCAAAGCGGTAGTTTGATGGTGCATTCTCCTGAGTGAAGTTGGTGCAGAGTGCTTCCAGGAGATCCCCTAGATTCTGTAACATGTCGTTGAAGGCCGATCGTCCTACACTGCCAGATGCATCGAGCACCAGCACGATTTCTCTCGTCACGTCTGGACCGGGAGTAGTGGGGCCACTGTGGAATGATTTCCATGTGACATCCGGTCGCCATGGCCGAAAATCTGAGGTGGGAGGGCAGCGACGGCTGGGTCTATATCCTCCTGGTGGGCCAGCCGGTCCTGACGGTCCTGCTTGTCCTGATGGTCCCGATGATCCGCTGGGTCCTCCCTTGGGTCCCGGCGATCCACGTCTAGGGGCACTACCTTTGGGGCCGGGTCGGCCGGGCGAAAGGTGTCGAGGATAGCATGGGTAAGTGGGCCGCCGGCCGGGAGGACCACTCTTACCAGACGGACCTGCCTGTCCTGGACCGGCACGACCACCTGGTCCCTGGACCTTCCTGGAGATCTCCTGACCTAGAGAACCACCGAGTGCAAACTGCAATGAGTTGATTTGCTCTTGTACTGATGGTGGACCTGTAGTTTAAACCAACACAATAGCACATCACAGTTAGGAAATTCTTTCTTCTAGTTTGCTTTAGCAACAGGAAGAGCACCGATCATCAACTCATTACAACAGAATGTGATGAAATGACATGATGATTACGCTTTTGTTGGCCTAAGTACGTTTTTGCAAAAAATCGGCTCTTTGCAGCTGCCAACACTCGATAGCATGAAAAACTGATAACACGTGGGTCAAACCTGAAACCGTATTGCTTCAAAAGCACTGGGCAGGCGGCATCAGAAGACCTCAAAGACAACCAATAGAGAGGTAAAGATGAACGTTATTTTCGACGTGAGTTGCAGGTCACTCGGGTTGTTTTTCGACGCGCGAGCCAAATAGCTGAAGGTTCGCGTCATGTCAGAAATAACGTTCATCTTAAGCTCTCTATTACCTGCTTGGTCACCTAGGTCAAGGAGCTTCCAGTGCGTGCATGTACACGTGACAACATATGTCACGTATGCATTTACTGCTTACAGGCATTGCGGTTAGCTTCGTTGAAATTTGCTCCATACAAAGGATTTCAATGTGAAAAGCATTTCAATAGAAGCATATGAGAAGATTGCTTGACCTGCATAGTTGTGGGGATACTAAGTTACTAGCAATTGAATAATTATGCTCCTAAAACTTACAGCGTAGCGATCTTTCCACCAGTAGCTCTTTGCAGTAGCTTTTGTCACCCCCGGAAAGAGTACG